CCTTCCTCTGGAAGCTTTGTCCCAGAGGAGCACCCAACAGATGCTAGCTGGAGCTCTCCTGTGTGAGGTGTCTGTTGGCCCCTGCTGGCAGGTGTCTCCCAGTCAGAAGGCACAGGGGTCAGGTACCAACTTGAGGAGGTAGTCTGACCCTTAGCAGAGCTTGAGGACTGTACTGGGAGATCCCTGCACAAAACCGGTAGGCAGGAACGTTTAAGTCTGCTAAAGCTGTGCCCACAGCCGCCCCTTCCAGCCAGTGCTCTTTCCCAGGGAGAAGGAAATTTTATCTATAAGCCCCTGACTCAGGCTGCTGCCCTTTTTTCAGAGATGCCCAACCTAGACAGGAAGAATCTAGAGGGGCAGTCTGGCTACAGTGACTTTGCTGGGCTGCAGAGGGCTCCAACCAGTTGGAATTTCTCTTTGTTTACTCTGTGAGAGGAAAACCACCTCTCAAGCTCAATAATGGCAGACGACCCTCCTCATCCACCAAACTCCAGTGTCCCAAGTCAACTTCAGACTGCTGTGCTGGCAGTGAGAATTTGGAGCCAGTGGATCTTAGCTTGCTGGAATCTGCTGAACTAGACCACTCAGCTCCCTGGCTTCAGCCCACTTTCCAGGGGAATGAAGGGTTCTGTCTTGCTGGGGTTCCAGGTGCCACTGGGGTTTTAAGAAAACACTCCTGCAGCTAGCTTGGTGTCTGCCCAAATGGCCACCCTGTGTTATGCTTGAAAGCCAGGGCCCTGGTGGCATAGGCACCCTAGAGAATCTCCTAGTCTGTGGGTTGCAAAGACTGTGGGAAAAGAGTAGTATCTGGGCCGGGGTGTACCGTTCTTCATGGCACAGTCCCACAGGGCTTCTTTCTCTTGGCTAGGGGAGGGAGCTCCCCGACCACTTGTGCTTCCAGGGTCAGGCAGCACCCCTTTCCCACACCCCACCCTGTTTTGGCTTGCTCTCCATGGGCTGCACCTACTAACCAGTCCCAATGAAATAAACCAGGTACCTCAGTTGGAAATGCAGAAATCACTGGCCTTCTGCATTGATCTTGCTGGGAGCTGCAGACTGGAGCTGTTCCTATTCGGCCATCTTGCCAAGAAGACACTTGATATTAACCATCACATTTTGCTAACCAAAGGTTGTAGTCTACCAACAGCATTAACATCACCTAGGAACTTGTTAGAAATTTTGAATTTCAGATCCCATCCCAGATATGCTGAATTAGAATCTAAATTTTATAAGATCCTACATAATGTATGTGAACTTTAATCATTATTTTATTGTAGCAAGAACACAACATACAATTTACTTTCCTAAATGTTTAAGTGTGCAAGACAGTATTGTTAACTGTAGGCACAATGTGGTACAGCAGATCGCTAGAACTTATTCATCTTGCATAACTGAAACTTGCATGCATTCATTAGCAATTTCCCATTTCTCCCTGACTCCAGACTCTGAAAACCACCATTCTACTTCCTGATTTTCTGAGTTGGGCTATTTTAGATACCTTATATAAGTAGAATTATGCAGTATTTGTCCTATTGTGACTGACATATTTCACTCGGCCTAACGTCTTCAGGGTTCATCTATGTTGTTGTATATTGTAGGAATTTCTTATTTTTAAGGTGGAATAGTATTCCCTTGCATGAGGACGGCTATCATATTTTTAAAAAGAAAACAAATGTTGGTGGACATGTAGAGAAATTTGAACACTTGTATACTGGTGATGAGAATACAAAATGGTGCAGCCACTATAGAAAACCGTATGGAGATTTCTCAAAAAATTAAAAATGGAACCACCATATGATCCAGCAATCCCACTTCCTGGTACTTCTCCAAAAGAATGAAAATCAGAATATTGAAGAGATATTAGCACTCAAATGTTCAATACAGCACAATTCACAACAGTCAAGTGTGGAAGCAATCTAAATGTCTATGGAAAAATAAATGGATAAAACAAATATGATATATATTACTAGATACACATGTACTTTTAAGCTCTAGAAGCAAATTCTGATCCAAACCACTGTGCTCCTAGAGCCTTAGCAGCAACATCCTGGGAACTTGTTAGATATAAAGATTATTTGCTTCACCCTAGATGTGAATAAGAACCCCTCTGTTTTAACAAACCCTGAACACTCAAGTTTAAAAACCACTCATCAAAACCATTATCCTGTCTTTGAGAATCATTGATCCACACATTTACCCTGCCTTTAGCAGTGACCATTTCTAATTTTAAGCACCACCACAATTCTACGACTAAAATCAGTGGAAATTCAAAAGGGCTAGAGAAGGATGGATAAAAAAAAATCTATGGTATTACATATGTACAGAACAAAACGCTGCACTTTTGCCAAAAGTTGGAGGATTTCCTCTTTTTTTTTTTTTTTCTTTCCCAAGCTGTAGATGGGTTTGGAAGGGCTCTCTAACTGGATGAACATAAAAGCTATGCACTGGTTGCCCGTAATTCCTTAGAGGCACATTCATGGTTTTCAACAGCTACTCTAGAAAAAAGGTTTTAATTCCACCTTGACTTCTAAATTTTAAAATGCCTCCACCTCTGAAAAACACTTTTTTGTTTGTTTGTTTGTTTTTGTTTTTGTTTTGTTCGTTTGTTTGTTTGAGACGGAGTTTCGCTCTTGTTACCCAGGCTGGAGTGCAATGGCGCGATCTCGGCTCACCGCGACCTCCGCCTCCTGGGTTCAAGCAATTCTCCTGCCTCAGCCTCCTGAGTAGCTGGGATTACAGGCACGTGCCACCATGCCCAGCTAATTTTTTGTATTTTTAGTAGAGACGGGGTTTCACCAGGTTGACCAGGATGGTCTCGATCTCTCGACCTCGTGATCCACCCGCCTCGGCCTCCCAAAGTGCTGGGATTACAGGCTTGAGCCACCGCGCCCGGCCCCCTGAAAAACACTTTTAAATAATTGTCAATTAGAGTGAGGATAGCAGGGTAAGCAGCTGCTTTAGTTTATTTAAGGAAGCTGCCAGAGGATGTCAGCTCCAGGTGTTTCTAAATATGAAGGCAATGGGGTGCATCCCTCAACTTTATAAATAGAGAAAGCAAGGGGCTGTCCCTCATGTTTCTTCTATAAAATAAAACCCACAAGGCTAATACTTTCTAATCAATTTCCTGGGATTCATCTTAGAGCATTTACATCTAATCCAAATACTACCAGATGAAGGCTGAAAAAGGATTGTTAGGTAAGCAAAATAAGATGGCTTTAGAGTCCCTGTGTCTTCTTTCTCTCTTTCCCTAAATACTAAAGCATGATCAGCTTTTTAATAAACTATTTATTTTGTTACATATATATGTGTGTGTGTGTGTATACAAGGTATACAACATGATGTTTTGATATACATAGTGAAATAGTTACTAGACTTAAGCAAATTAATATGTCCATCATTTCACATAGTTACACCATTTTTTCATTTTTCTTTTCCCCCGAGATGGTCTCACTCTGTCGCCCGGGAGGAGTACAGTGGTGCAATTAAGCTCACTGTAGCCTGGACCTTCCAGGCTCAGGTAATCATCCCACCTCAGCTTCCTGGGTAGCTGGGACTGTAGGTGGGTGCTACCACACCTGACCACAAATATTTTTTAAATGGTAAGAGCACTTATAGTCTACTCTCTTAGCAAATTTCTAGTTTGCAATACAATATTTTTAACATTAGAACTTTAGGACTTATTCATCCTATATAACTGCAACTTTGTACACTTTGACCCTCATCATTCTGTTTCTTCCCTGCCCCTGGTAACCACCACTGTTTCCATAAATTCTAATGTGTGTGATGTGTGTGTTTAAGATTCCACATATAAGTAATATTGTGCAGATTTTACCTTTTGTGTCTGGCTTGTTTCTAGCATAATGTCCTCCAGGTTTATCCATGTTGTTGCAAATGTCAGGATCTCCTTCTAAAGGTTGAATGATACTCCATTGTGTGTGTGTGTGTGTGTGTCCGTGTATAAAGCGGGTGCATGCACATGTATGTATCACGATTTCTTTATCCATTCATCGTTAACAGGTACTTTGCTTGTCTCCAAATCTTTCCAACTGTGAATAATGCTGCAATGAACTTGAGAGCGATTTCTATGAGATCCTGATTTCATTTCTTTTGAGTATATTCCCAGAAGAGGGATGGCTAGGTCACTGGCTTTAGCAGTGATTTTTTGGATATCACAACAAAAACCCAGGCAACCAAAGCAAAACTAGATAAATGGGACTTCATTCAACTAAAAAGCTTCTGCACTGCATATAAAATAATCAAGAAAATGAATATTTAAAAGCCTATAGATTGGGAGAAAATATTTGTGAACTATGTATCTGATAACGGGCTAATATCCAAAATATATAAGGAGTTTGCACAATTCAGCCAAAATAAATAAATAATCACCCAATTAATAAATGGGCAAAGGATCTGAATGGACTTTTTCTGGAAAAAAAAAAAAAGTATAAATGACCGGCAAGTATAAGAAAAGGTGCTCAAAATCACTAATATGTTCCCTGTTGGGAAATGCAAACCAGAGCCGCTAGTATCTCCACACACCTGCTAGGATGGCTGTTATCAAAAAGATAAGAGATAACAAGTGTCGGTGATGAGCGGAGCAAAGGCAATCCTGTGCACTGCTGGTGGAAATGTGCATTGGCACATCCGTTATGGAAAACCCTACGGAGGTTCCTGAAAAAGTTAAAAACAGAACTACCAGGCCAGCGTTACCCGTTCTTTGTTAGGTTCAGAGTCACAGGGCCACTTCCTTTCCTGTCTAAAGGGGGCTGCTGGAGACCCAAGGCAACGCCCGCACGTGTGGCTCTCCCTCGGGGCAGACTGGGTCAGGAGGTGGATCTCCCGGCCAGCCCGGACCCCCGACCCCTGAACCCTCAGCGGCTTCGGCGCCTCCTCAGCCCCCGGTGAACCTCCTGGGCCCATGAAGGCGCCAGGCCGGCTCCCCCAGGCCCGGCCGGAGGCGCCGCCCGAGAGAGGAAGGGCCAACCAGCCGGGCCAGGCTTGGGGGCGCCGGGGACTGCGCGAGCGGCCGAGCGCAGGGTCCTCCCCAGGCGGGCGCCAGGCCCCCGTCAGCCCCAGCCGGGCCGCGATCGCCGGTGGGTTCCGGGTCCTGTGACCGGTCAGGCGGCGTCAGCGGGCGTGACGGAGGGCGGGCCGGCCTCGGGGGAGTTTCCGCGGCCGCCGGGGGCGCGGCTAGGGAGCGCGCGGCCGGGCGGGGGCCAGTCCCGGAGCCCAGGAGCGCCCGACGGCTGCGGCGCTCATGGCGGGCGGGGGAACCGGGGATCCTGGCCTGGGGGCGGCTGCCGCCGGGGCGCCCGAGATCCGCGAGCACCTCTTCAAGGTGCTGGTGATCGGCGAGCTCGGAGTGGGCAAGACCAGCATCATCAAGCGCTACGTCCACCAGCTCTTCTCCCAGCACTACCGGGCCACCATCGGGGTAGACTTCGCCCTCAAGGTCCTCAACTGGGACAGCAGGACGCTGGTGCGCCTGCAGCTGTGGGATATCGCGGGTAAGCGCGGCCGCGGCTTTCCCACCCCGGAGCCCGCGGGGCCACCGGGCTCCTCTCGGTCTCTCTTCTTTTTCCTGTCCGCCTGAACTCGTCTGCCTGGGTACGTTTAGGAGAACAGAGAGGCCAAATCCAAGGGCGAGATGCTATGGACGCGGTCGGCTGGACTCGGTGGGGCCCGGAGGACGGGATGGGCAGTAGGAGTTGGAGCAGGTCCTGCACGTCAGGGCTCGCTCTCCTGATGGGAGGCGAGGAGGCCCGGGGGCCTTTTCCAGAAGTTTGAACTCTGAATAATGCACGCGTATCCAACACCAGGACGAGCTGGAAAGGTTGCTCTGGAGCGGGCCGGCGCCTCTCAGTCAGCCTGAGCTCAAGTTCAGAGGGACTGGGTGACCCACCCGAAGCTGCACTTCTAGTTAGTGACACCACCAAGACCAAAAGCCAGGTTCCTTTTCAGATCATTTCGACCACCCGCCTTGGCTCTGAGACTGGCCTTTGTGAGGGAAACTCCAATCCTCAAATGCTTTGCTCTCTTCGGAAGCCCAGAACAGACACCCGGTGAAGATTTGGGAAAGCTTTTCTGAAACTTTACGCTGGCTCACTCCTTACTCTCTTCCTAAACCAACAGCTAGTCCCATCCCTGGTGCCCTGCCCCCCGCCCCCACTCCCCAATACACTGTTTCTCTGGCATATGCTTTCGCTGGTTCTGTTTACATTTCCTCCTGCTCTGATTTATGAACACTTGAACTCTGGCTGGTGTGGTGGTTGGGACTGGGCGTTTTAAGAAGATATTAACTGTTGGAGAGTTCACAGAAATGGTACCAAGCCAAGTGCCAGTGTCTCACGCCTGTAATTCCAGCACTTTGGAAGTCCTAGGCTGGAGAATCGCTTGAGCACAGCAGTTCGAGACCAGCCTGGGCTGTCCGTTAGACCCTGTCTCTACAAATAATAATAATAATAATAATAATAATACAAAAAATTAGCCAAGCGTGGTCGTGCGTGGCTGTAGTCCCAGCTATTCTGGAGGCCGAGACAGGAAGATCATTTGAGCCTAGGAGAGGTCTAGGCTTCAGTGAGCTGTGTTCTCACCACTGCACTCCAGCCTGGGCAACAGAGTGAGAACGTATCTCAGGGGGAAAAAAAGTGCCAAAAGTTACTCTGTTCAGTTATTATAGGTGTTAAGAACTCAGTCTGCAGTAGAGCATTAGGATGGGAGCGGGTTTGGGATTAGGGGACACCTGAGGCCACCCTTTATTCTAGAGTCCCTACACTGAAGCCCATAGAGGGTACAGCTGCCTGGCTGGTAGCAGAATAGGGGGGCAGTGGGCAGAATCACAGGTCTACTGTCTGTCTGCCAGATAATTTTCTTCTCTTTTATAGCTTGTTACATATGAAACAGTATTAAATAACTGTAACCTATAACTCATTCATTTAAGAGCAGATTTCTCTCCCTCAGATAGGAGAATAAACGTTCACAACTCAGTCCCTCAGAGAAAAGGAGGGGTCAGCATTTTTTATTGTTGTTACCACAAACCAAAAATTCGTTTGAGAAGTCATCTTTGAAGCCAGAGGCTTTTTCGAAACACTTCCTGCTGTTGCACAGAATACTAATGAACAGTATTTCTGCTTCTTGACAAAGTTATGGATTCTAAAGGTTGCCTTACCATGTGACAGTCATTCTCCAGGAATCTGCAGCATAGCTGAGGATTTTCACAAAGATGGTTTTAAAACCTTGCTTGCAAGGGTGCTTGACCTTGCCTTACTCTTTATGTAAATTATGGTATTTTGTTATTAAATTACGTTTGGGTCCTACTAGCAATAAATGAGTATAAGTAACTAGATTTTTAAGTGTTTACAGTTAGAGACTTAGGAAAGCAAAAGCAGGAGTAAGATATAAATTTTCTTCTTTTTTAAAAAAAATTGTAGATCTCGATAGACAGGAAGGGTTCATACCAGTTTTTATCAGACTCTGATACACATTTGCCTAAATGGGATATTCTTGCACTTTTCACTAACTCCAAAGCTTGTGTTTTACCAGGAAGGAAAATAGAATTTTAAGATCTCCAAAAGGGATTTCTGGATGTTAGACATTGTTTCAACAGGTATTGTTGTACCACACAGCAAGTACAGACTAGCAATTAATAAAATTAGAGGTAAATTTATAGAAATGATTAGGCTTACTTTATAAGTAAGATTTTCAGAGATAGAATTTTAATATAAGGAAAATGAGGGAGAAAAATAGCTTAGTGAGAGAAAAAAAAAAACAAAAAACAAAAAACCTTAGCCTAAAGTTTGGAGAGTTACATTACTAAATGTTTGGTTTGAATATTTGAGCTGCTAGTGAATCTCAGCTCATACCATTTGAATTAAGTAATGATGACATAATGAAGGCTGCTCCAAAACTTCCCCAATGGCTAAGCATACTTGCCTTATGCAGTAACAAAGCTGGATCATATTTAATTCTCAAATAATAGAAATAGTCTTTGATTGCAAAATAGTAGGCAGAGTCAGATATTTGGCATAACTAAATTAAGGTGTGGTGTTTTTTACTAGTTACGTCTCGAAAGTTTTGGCAAATACGAAAGGTTAGAATTATCAAGTGTTTTCTATACATGTAGCCAAGCAGATTCAGCTAAACTCTTCAAGTTAAGAACCACTGTGATCCTTGGATACACAAATCTTTTCTTATAGCATTGAAGGAATCTGGCTTTAAAATACAGATGCAGTTTAGTGCAGTTTTTGTGTAAGAAAATTGTGATCTCTTAATTCACATGTGCTTTGGAACTGCTGCTGAAAACATAACTGAAATATACTAAAATATTTAAGTCTTTGGTAAGAGTTTACAAAGATCTTAATACACACTTAAGACAGAGCAAGAAATGTCTCTGATCTTCCTTTTATGGCTCAGCATAGGTAAAATAGTATTTGGTTTACTATTTATTGTAAGCTTATTGCTCATTAGCAACTATAGAATTTTTCAGGCAAGTTGAACAACTGGTCTGGGTTAAATCTTAAAAAAACAAGTTTTTCCATTTAGATCTAGTCTATTTTAGTCTTCATGTATTGATCGAGTGATTTTGCTTTTTAGAAACAAAAGTTTTTAATAAAAATCTGAATGAGTAACTCTCCTTTGGGCCAAAGGACAAATTAGGAACAGTCTGCTCTGAAGTCCATATAAATGATATTTACCCAAGCATAAAATGCATGCTTGGAAGATATAAACTATATCATCTATGCCTAAACTTATTTTACATTGTTTTGATTTCCATCCAAAATAGAATGTGGATCCTGATTTTCTTGCTCCATCTTACACTTTGTCAATTAGTATACCTAGTAATCTCCCTTTGCCTTTTCTTCATAACTCTCCTATAATCCTTCATGAGCAAGAATCTGGAATATTACCTCTGACACTTTCCTGATCTTAGAGGTATTCTTCAGTCAGATTTACACATATTTCTAAGTATAAAGAAGCCATGCTTTGAGGAATTAGTCTATGTAATTATTTGTAGCCTCCATCTTAAACACAAAATACTGCAGTTAAGTTTCCAGTATTTATTGGTGGCTGATGACATACCAACTCATTTACAAGGCTTTTTAAAGTCTTTTAAAGTCACATATCAGTAATATGACTCTTGTACCATCTTGCCATCCTCAGCCTTATTCAAGCTCGATTTCTGTACTGAATTATAAGCAGACCCTACTGTCTTATTTATGTATTTAAATATTTCACTCTTCCTGAGTTCTGAGACACCTTTGAGTGCCACCATCTGGGCGATACATTCACAATTGTCCAGGCAGGCAGCTGGTCAGGATAACAAAATATTTGTATTACTGCACATGGAATTTCCCTAGATAATGATAGTCCTGTTGCCTTTCCCTTTTGAATATGTTACCATTCTTCATTGCCTCAATTAGCCCTCATAAGCTAAAAGATGCTCAGGTTAGCAGTAGCCATAGTAGAGCACTGATAGGAAGTCCTACAACTTTCCTTTGCTCTCAGCCATTTGCCTCATCGTTCTACCTTTTGAGTTGAATGAATTATAGATTTAGTGACCCTATAATCTCAACATAGGTATAGTAACTTGACTAAGAAAACACAGATAATCAGTGGTACTGTATGGAGACAGGTTTCATGACTCAGATATGAAAACAATATGCTTTTTAAAAGTCAGCAGAAGGCCGGGCGCGGTGGCTCAAGCCTGTAATCCCAGCACTTTGGGAGGCCGAGGTGGGTGGATCACGAGGTCAAGAGATCGAGACCATCCTGGTCAACATGGTGAAACCCCGTCTCTACTAAAAAATACAAAAAATTAGCTGGGCATGGTGGCACGTGCCTGTAATCCCAGCTACTCAGGAGGCTGAGGCAGGAGAATTGCCTGAACTCAGGAGGTGGAGGTTGCGGTGAGCCGAGATCGTGCCATTGCACTCGAGCCTGGGTAACAAGAGTGAAACTCTTGTCTCAAAAAAAAAAAAAAAAAAATCAGCAGAATTTTGGTTTATTGGTATCAAAATAGCAGCACAAATACTTTTCAAATTTTCAAATGTTTTGGTCATCATGAAATTAGTCATGTATATGTTATCTTGACCTTCCAATTTTCTTAAGATTTTGATATGAAATTTTAAATAAGTCTCATTCTGTTTTAAAATGTACCTAGGATTTTGTTTTTAGTCAGATACAATGGAGACATCAGATCAGATGTTTGCCATTAGATAGATAGTTATTACTCACAGTTCCCAAGAGTGGAGGCACGTTATGCCACACCACACCAGGCCACAGGGAAAAGCAGCAGGGTTGGTCATGAGAAAGAAGGAGCAAGCAAAATGCATGGGCTAGAGGTTTGATTGTGGCTTTTGCAGGAAGGAGCCCGTGAGGTAGGGTAGGCAAGCTGAGCAAGTTGAGGACTGCATAGTTTGAATAATTTTGGTGTACTCTGGGCTATAGAAGTGGTCTATAGTTGTCCAGTACTGGTCCCTGGGAGTGATTTGGGACTCGGGGATAGTGT